CTAGCAATTCCACTTTTGGGAATTTATCTTAACGATGTAAGGAATGATGCACAGGCTGGCTCCACCAAGCATCTCGTACCCTAGTGAAAGGTGAGAAACGGCCCCAGTGCCTGAGCAGGAGGCAGGGACAAAAAAATTGGGTCCATCCCGCATACTGCAAACCCAGGTCATGAATGATTGCTCAATGACAAGGGAACATTTTTATAATATGTTTAGTATTAAAAATAGCTTCCAAGGCAGTGTGCACAGTGTCACAGTGTAAATCACTAACTTTGTAATAAATCGTTATTTATTGATGTCTATAGTAATGCTCAACATAAGGACGCTCTGGAAGGAATTCCACCAAAATGTCACTAGTGGCAACTCTGCTCAGTGGACTCACAGTTTTTATTTTTTTTCTGAGTGATTTTCTGTATTCTTGAAATTTTCTAGAATGACAGGTTGTTGCTTTTATTTTTTTATTTTTTATTTTTTATTTTATTTTTTTTTTTGCTTTTATAATCAGGAGAGGAAACTGATATTTTTCTGAAAAATAAAATGCAAATACCCTTTTATCAGGCTGTTCCCGGGTGTCACTTCATCCTCTTTGTACTGCCGCTGAGCTCTGATTCTTTTTTAGGGTCTTGGTGTCACTACTACCGTTGAGAAATTGCAACAAGGACAACGTGAAGAGGTGGCCGAAGGAGATGTTCCCGGGGGACGCTAGAAGGCATCCCACAGAGCAGTGAGGCACCCTAGGGGGCCGGAGAACCCACAACCAAGTGAAACGGTTTCTTTGATGGGCCATGAAGCCGCCCTGCCTAAGAGCAGAACATGCAGCCCAGCACCGCCTGCCCACGGGGGTGGAGAACAGATTCACTGTTCCCAAGAGAGAAATGATTTTTCTTCTCTCCTCTCTTCTTTTTCATTTTGCCTGTGTCGATGAAATCAATCTTTTGATTGCTCTTCTGTGAATACAAGTAAAATACCGTGCACAAAAGCAACCCTATGTCTGAGTCGTTCTTTGACCCAGCTCTTCCTGGCAAATGGTGAGTTTCTGGGTGGAGTCCTGTTCCTCCTTGTCTGGTGTGATGCCACCAGCCTCCTTTGAGGGTGGCCACAAGACCCCGCCCTCTGATGTCACCGTTCTAAGAACGTTATTGAGAATGTTTCTTGTTGCAGTACAGAGTCCTCTGTATGATGCCCCTTAGGAGAGAGTCTCTTGGGGTCTAGTACTGGGAATAGTCAGTCAAACCTCCACGAGCAACTGGTCCATGTCTTGTACAACCAACTGGGCCTTCTCTTGCACTATAACTGCTAGAGCAAAACTGGAGACCCATTCATTGATGTCATGATACCCACTTTTTTTTGGCATTAGTCACATTCCTGATGCATTTCATGTCCCAACTAATCTACTTTAAAATTTTAATTTAATTTAATTTTTTTTGTGGCTGGCTCGATGGGGATCCAAACCTTCATGTTGGTGTTATAGCACCAAGCTCTAACCAACTGAGCTAACTGGTCAGCCCCATACTTTAAAATTTTTAATTTCTCGGGCCAGCCCGGTGGCGTGCTGGAGAGTGCGCCGCTTGGGAGTGCGGCGGCGCTCCCGCCGAGGGTTCGGATCCCATGTNGAGAATGTTTCTTGTTGCAGTACAGAGTCCTCTGTATGATGCCCCTTAGGAGAGAGTCTCTCGGGGTCTAGTACTGGGAATAGTCAGTCAAACCTCCACGAGCAACTGGTCCATGTCTTGTACAACCAACTGGGCCTTCTCTTGCACTGTAACTGCTAGAGCAAAACTGGCGACCCATTCATTGATGTCATGATACCCACTTTTTTTTGGCATTAGTCACATTCCTGATGCATTTCATGTCCCAACTAATCTACTTTAAAATTTTTATTTAATTTAATTTTTTTTGTGGCTGGCTCGATGGGGATCCAAACCTTCATGTTGGTGTTATAGCACCAAGCTCTAACCAACTGAGCTAACTGGTCAGCCCCATACTTTAAAAATTTTAATTTCTCGGGCTGGCCCGGTGGTGCGCTGGAGAGTGCGCCGCTTGGGAGTGCGGCGGCACTCCCGCCAAGGGTTCGGATCCCATGTGGAGACCGGTTCCCGCTCACTGGTTGAGCGCGGTGCGGGCACAACACCAAGGGTTGCGATCCCATTGCTGGTCCCCGGTACGGGCATGACACCGAGGGTTGTGATCCCGTTACTGGTCAGTAAAAAAGACAAAAAGGAAAAAAAAATTTTAATTTCTCCTTTTCTCCCACCCCTAATCAATGTATTTCCTGGGAGCTCCACAGAACATCAGTTGGGGAACAAGGCGGCGTGTAAACAGATTGCTGCTCTCGGGCTCTCACGCAGCTTGCAGCAGGGAGGTCCACAGGAGGTCTCCAGGAGCAGGACAGTCCTGAGCTGATGGGCTTGCACCACCTCCCTGAACTCTGGTCTGTCTTCTCTGGACATGCTGGTTAGTCAAGACCCCTCTTAACAGGTGGTGTCCAGGGCTGATAAGTAATCCAGGTATGCTTTACAGACACCGTCCTTCCTAGAGCAGCGTTGTTCAAAGTGCATCAGCAATGCTTAGGCTGCTTGTTGAAAATGCAGACTCTTGAGTCCACCCTACACCCAGGCAAGCAGAATCACCGGGGGCAAGGCCCAAGAAGTAGACATTTAAAATAAACTCCCCAGAGATTCTAATGCATGCTAACGTTTGGGAACCTTTCTTTGAAGAGAATGATCCAAGATGGATGTGAATAGAGACCTTTTTAGTACCCACTGGTCCCCAAATCCCTTTCAAATCATATTTACCTATGATTTTTATATTTAAATTTAACCCATTATTGCCAAGTTGTGTATTTATCACCTGCTGCTTGACTCTGAGATATTGGTCAGTGTTTGTGTGCGTGTGTGTGTGTGGGGGTGGGGGTGGGGGGGGGACCCAGCAATACACAGGACATACACACACACACACACACACACACACACAGAGCTTTTGAGATGCCCAAGACAGGGCAACAACCCTCTCCACTCCTGCATCCCCCACTCCCAGCAAGTGCATTTTGATTATGAAGGCGACTATAATTATGATGACAAGTTCTGGTGGGAAAACTGACATCAAAGTGATCAGAAATCCAGGCACCCGTGCCGTTTTACCCCAGGCAGCTGAGCCTACACAAAGCTGAAGTACAGCAGAGAGAGAGAGGGGTGCAGACGCAGGGTTCTGGAGCCACATAGTCCTGGATTCGGATCCTGCCCCTTCACTTCTGAGCCATGAACTTATCATAAGAATATGAGCAGCCCATGCCCACGGTGCACAGAGTGGGTGCCAGGTGCTTGTCTTTGTGTTCTCTGTGTACGTTAGCAGTCACGCCTCACAACTCAATGAAGTTGATCTACTGGTATCATCTGTATTTCACAAGTGGGAAACCGGGCACAGAGGTGGTAAATAACTTCCCTAAAGTCCCTAAAGACAGCCAGGGAGGGGCAGAGGTGGGATTTGAAGAACCACCTCTGGTGCCAGACCGCCTGGTGCCAGAACCCTGCTCTCCCCATGCCAGGCCGCTCTGGCCTTTGGGACTCATACCTCCTTCTGCTTGGTTAAGAGGTTCTCCAGGTCCTGCACCTTTCTCTTCTCCTTCTCTATGGCTTCCTTGGCTTTGTGTTTCTCGTAGGCGAGGCTGCTCTCTGAGATCTGGAAGTCAAGGACAAGTGGTTTCAGGGTGTGTGCATCAGAGAGAGGAAGGGAGATGACACCTCAGAGGGAAGCCAGGACCAGGCACCGGTGGGACCAGTGAGTCAGGGATTGGCAGCAAGAGCTCAAGGAACAGGGTGCCCACTGGGGAGAGAAGTGAGAACCTGGCATGCCCGCTGTGAGAACCCAGGAGCTGTATCTCGGTGAGTCATGTGCATAAAAGAGAGTGACTCCTCATTCAGGATCTTGGGGATGGTGTTCAGGAAGTGACAGGCCATGAGTGTTTGGCTCACGTCATTTGGCACTGAGCTAATGACTACACCGGCATGTGTTGGCACCAATGCAGGCCCTTGTTGGGAATTACCTGGCTTTTTTGGGAAGCGGGGCAGGAGGGACGCCCAGGGAGATGCGTCCTGTGCCCACAGGCCTGATGCCTGTGGCTTCAAAGAAGGACACAGTCTCTTCCAGGCTACAAAGGTCAGGGTTTCAAAAATTTATGTCCAGGACAGTGTGGAACTGAGAACACATACCCTACAGCCCCGGTGATGGGGAGGGCATTGGAGGCCTGGACTCACCTACCCAAGCTCCGCAAGGTAAACAGCAAGAGCAGGGTTGAGAAACTCTATTTGCAGCTGTTGGAACGCTTGCAATTACACACCCCACACAAACAAAGTTCACAGGAAAAATATTTCAAATATATATGTACATGTATAGACTGGAGAGGTATGTACCAAAATGTAAATAGAAGTTATTTGGGGGGAATTGGGATTATGGCAACTTGTATTTTCTTCTTTTCACTGCTCTGTATCTTCCAAATTTTCTTTGGTGAACATGTAATACTTGGTAAAAAGAAAAACTGCTGAAAATTGTTACAGGGAATGCTATGCTGGGAGGTGGGAAGGTTTTAGAGGTGCAGAATGAGACTTTAGGCATGCGTGTGGCTCTGGAGAAAAGACAACTTTCCCAACATTCCCAATGTTTTAACATAATGTATGTGGCCCTCTGTCCGCCCCGCCCTGTTCTGCACACCATCCTCCCCACCCCACCTGGACTCTGACCTCACCTCCATGCACAGGTGACTGCTTAACACTGCCTGGGCCCAGCCTGCAGGCCTAAGTCGTGCCTGTCATAAGAGGCCACCAGCTCCCTCCCGTATGCCCCATGGGGAGGGCTCTTCCCCTTCTCTGATTACGCGCCACTTGGCATGTTACAGATGAAAACTGTAATGACGGTGCTGCGTGCGGAATGCATTAGTGCAGGCAACCTGCAGCCCCCAGACAACGTCCACCCAGTTATCCCCATTTTACAGGGGAGGAAACAGAGGTTGTAACTGAGGCAGTAGAAGGACAAGTAATGTTCCAAGGTCACACCACTGGGAAGTGGTGGTGCAAGCTTGGACACAGTGCCCTGCCCTAACCACTGTGCAACTTGGCTTCTTGGCCCTGCCTTACCTGTCCTCAGGAGCACACCCTACCTGGGAGCAGGAGACATGTTTTTATGTTTATATTTGAAGCTCAGATCCCACTCTTGGCCCATATGTATAAGGGATGCTCTGGGGAGAGCTGTTGACCAGAGCTTGGGTCCCACCCCTTATCAAGGCTTGCTCCGTGTCTATGTTCCTTCACCTACCTGGACTCTGGCCTCACTTCCCTCACGGGCTTGGCATAGGCTCACTGTCAAGGTCTTTGTTTAAAGCTGTCCATCGCCCCACCCTGCTGTGCCCACTGTGAAGTCCCCGCCCCACCTGGACTCTGACCTCACAGGGGTGGGTGCTTCACTAGCACGAATGCATTGATTCCTGACACCAAAGCTCTAGGGTGCTCTGCCCCTACCCCCACATTGCAGATGAGGGCACAGAGAGGGCAAGGGGCTTGCCCAGGGTCACACAGCATGTTAGGGCAGAGCTGAGATTTGACCCAGAACTGACACCTGTAGCCCAGCCAGTTCTCCTGCTCCTTCCGAGCCTCTCCCACTGTCCCCCTCCCACTTCTCCCCCTGTCCCCCCGCTCGTCTCCCATCTTGCTGCAGCTTTCATTTTATTCTACCTGCTGCTCCCTGCCCCAGGTCCCTTCTTCACAATTTTGCCACTTTACCTGGTGGCACTCCCTTCCCAGGCTCCTCCTCCCCTCTGGGTCTCGCTCACATGTCCCCTCCTCAGAGAGGCCCTCCCTGCCTGCGGGCCACTCTCTTCCCCTTAGCCCTTGTGGCTCTGGAGTCATTCCCATGTGCTTGTCTACACAGTTGTCTGTGTCCCCCCACAGGACGGAAGCCCTGGGGTAGCCTGGCCCTGGTCTGTCTTGTTCACTGCAGCATCCCTGTCCCTGGCACCGGAACAGGGCCTGGCTCATAGTGGGTGCTCAGCGAATATTCGTGGACAGACAAAGGAAACCGAATCAAACAATCACTGAGCTGTCAGCTCTGTTTCTAGAAGTTCCATGAGGGCCGGCACATGTGTGTCTGTGCCACCTCTGTCCCCAGAGCCCAGCTCAGGGGTCACTGAGTGATGTCCCCCTGGCCCTAGGCTCCCGTCTTCCAGGGTGTGACCCATGTTCGGGCTACCTTAGTGACATCCTCCTGGCTTAGCTTTGAAGCCTGCCTTTCACAGCTGCTCCAGGTGGGCCCTGTCCCCAGGCCAGTGGGGGTGGGTGGGTGGATGGGGGTCTCCAGCTCTGCCTGCGCCTGGTACTTGGACACCCCTCCTCGCCTCCCCATGTCACCCTGTCCCTGAGGGCACACTTCTCATCTGTCCAGAGGCAGTGACCCCAGGCACTTATTTAGTGTGACCACCATGTGGGCTGGTTACAGGCCCACCTGCTCCCTCACACTCTGTGCTGTTGGGTCTCTTACCATCAATCAGTCCTGGCAGGATCTGCTTAAGAGGCTATACCACCAGGCTGGGCCAGGAGGCAGAGTTTCTCCTGTGGCCATGCTGGGTGGGTTCATAAATGCCTTCTATAATGAGCTGAGGGACTGCCCGAGACAATGACCCAGGGCTCTCTCCCGGTCTTCCATCCCTCTTCCTTCTCCCCTAGGTAGCTGAGCTAAAGCAGCAAGAGCTTACAGAGCACCCTCTCTGTGCAGGGGCAGGTACTTTATACACAGGGACATTGCATCCTCTGAGGCAGGGCCTATCATTGTTCCCATTTTACAGATGAGGACACTGAGGGGTAGGAGGTTAGATGGCCTGCCCTAGGTCCCACAGCCAGTACGTGGCAGATGCAGGCGCTTCTCCGGCATCTGCCCACCTCACTGCCGCGCTGGCTCGGGGCACGTCCGGTTCCAGAGCTCCTCCCAGAGGCGCTGGCTGCCGCGGCCCCCTCCCCTCTGCTGCTCATACCTCCTTCTGCTGGGTTAAGTGGTTCTCCAGATCTTGAACTTTTCTCTTTTCTGTCTCTAAGGCTTCCTTTGCTTTTCTTTTCTCATGGGCAATGCTGCTCTCCAGAACCTGAAAGTCAACGACCCGTCCTTTTGGTTGCCTGCACATTTAGGGGGGAGATTGCTAATCATGATGAGAATCATAATGAAATTAGCTGAAATGCTGAGGGTCTCTATTACCCCCCAGAACCCCTGGCCAGCACGGCACTCCCAGGATGACCTTTCCTCTCCCAGCAATCCCATCAGAGAAGTGCTGTTAGTGGCCCCGGTTTACAGATGAGGAAACTGAGGAACAGGAAGTCGGGGAGGCCCAAGGTCATACAGTTAGTCAGTGGTGAGGTCAGGATTTGAATCCTGCACAGAGGAAAGCACACAGCCCACATATAGGGGCCCTCAGTAGGGAATGAGCGAGTGGAGGGGGCAGCCAGGCTTCTTATCACTGGACTAGGCGACTTCTCTGATAAAAAAAGAATCTCATTAATAATGGAATTTCCTATTACTGAAATAAATCTCTTCAGGAGAATCTGGTTTTGAGAGGAGGGCAGTGTCCTGAATTAATGAACCACAATAAGCCAATTTCTAGTGGGGGGGAGGGGCCGAGCCTTGCAAATAATGCTCTGGTAGGATGCAGGGAAAAACTNGGCCTCGCCCCTGTTTCTAGTCACTGCAAGAAAGGGCACCTTAGCTTTCAAATGGGTGGTATTTAAACAGGTGTTTGGAATTTGGAACATGGTTTCCATTATAATGGGTGGTTAGGGCCCCAGATAAACCCGCAAAAAGTATTTAATCTACAATACAGCTGAGGTATTGTATATTTTGCAGTGAAAAGTAGTTTAAAAAATTCTAACATGCTGGGCCGGCCGGTGGCTCACTCGGGAGAGTGCGGTGCTGATAACACCAAGGCCCCGGGTTCGGATCCCATATAGGGATGGCCGGTTCGCTCACTGGGTGAGCGTGGTGCTGACAACACCAAGCCAAGGGTTAAGATCCCCTTACTGGTCATCTTTTAAAAAAAAAAAAAATTCTAACATGTTGCTGTTCCTATACGAGTCTTAAACAAACCAGAAGAGCAGTAACATTGTGGGAATTTCACATTTACTTGGAAGGTCTGAGGTGGGTTGTTGGGTATGGGAATTGGGCCTGAATAAGGGCAGATGTAGGGAACCTCTGTTTTCAAATATCTAAGCTATTATGTGGAAGAGGAAATGGACATGTCTTGCAGGAGCACAGGGATAGATAGAGGATTGATACCCTTCCGGGAAGAAAAACACTTTGACCCAACTCAACCTAAAGGAAAAATTTTCCGCTGGCGCAAAGCATCAACACTGGGATGAACCATCCTGGGCTTTAGAAAATTCCTTGGTGGTACAGCTGAAGGCTGGATGATTTTAGGACATTGTTGGGGGATTCATACAGCCCTGAAGTCCCACGACTGTCATACCCTTATTTCTATGCTTTGGAACACAACCTCCACGCAGAAGATGCCTGTGTCCCCAGTCCTAGCTTGACTCCCGAGCCCTCTCTCTGTATTTTATGCTGTTTGCAATTTTTTCCCCACTGGTTGTCAAGGCTACAACTCCAGTATTCCCTCCCCGAGTCCCCTATGCTTCCCAAAGTAGCTGAGCCCACCCAAGGACAAATTACACTAGGAAAGACCCACCCCACTCTCCCCCATCCCCTGGGCTTCTGAACTTACTTCCAGATGGCCCGCAAGCCAGATTTGGACTCAATGGGCTCCTGTCCCCCCAGGCTGCGTACCTCCTTCTGACGGGCTAAGCGGCTCTCCAGCTCCTGAGCTCTGGTCTGCTCTTCCTCTAATGCTTCCTTCATTTTGCTTTTCTCTCGAGTAACACTTTCCTCCAGATCCTGAAAGTCAATGACTGCTGTTTAACAGACATGGTCACCATGGTAGGAATATGGACTCTGTGGCTGGCACTGAGTGGCTTCTCTCTGCACTTCTAACTACACCCGCCCTGGGGAGACCGTGGGCAGCACCTCCCAGCTCAGAGGTGGGCTCTGGAGTCGGCAGGCCCAGATTGGAGCCCTCAACCCATCCTTCCTGGCTGTGTGGCCTTGATTGGGGTCAGGCCGACTCTGTCTCTCGAGCTGCATACCTTTTTCTGGCGGGCTAAGCGATTCTCCAGCTCATGGGCTCTCTTCTGTTCTTCCTCTAATGCTTCCTTTGCTCTGTTTTTCTCTTGAGTAACGCTTTCCTCCAGAGCCTGAAAGTCAATGACCATTGTTTAACAGACATGGTCACCATGGCAGCACTTTGGATTCGGTGCCAGGCCCTGCGTGGCTCACCTCTTCACTCCTAACCACAGCCCCATGGGGAGACCGTGGGCAGCACAGCCCAGGAGCTCAGAGGTGGGCTCTGGAGTCAGCAGGCCCAGATCAGAGCTCCTAGTGATCCTTCCTGAGTAAGTGAGAAGCTGTAGAGGCCTCAGTTTCCCTATCTGTACAATGGGGACTGTAACAATGCTTCCTGCGCTGGGTGGATGGGAGGAATAGATTGATGATGAACATGAAATTCTTGGCACAGTGACAACCCTTCTTCCCCACTTTGCAGAGGAGGAAACAGGCTTAGAGATATAAGGAACCTGCCCAATTTACTAGTAAATCACGTGAGCAGGGATTTAAACCCTGGCCTATTTGATTCTAAAGCCTGTGTTCTATACCAGGGTTTGGTAAACATGGCCTACAGACCAAATCCGGCCTGCTGCCTGTTTTTTGAAAATAAAGTATTATTGGAACACTCCATGCTCACTGTTTGTGTATTTCCTGTGGCTGCTTTTGCACAACAACAGAGCTGAGCAGTCATGACAGAGATCGTACGGCCTGCAAAACTGAAAATATTTACTATCTGGCTCTTTGTGGAAGTTTGCTGACCCGTGATCTAAAGCATTAGGGTGTGCACCAATCAAGTGGATGTTGTTAACAATTTGTAATAAAACAAAGAATGCTCCATCGACAAAGGCACCTGGAACTTTTTTTTTTTTTTACCATGGAAACAAAGTCCTCAAACCAGCCAGGATTCTTGAGAGGGAGCCTAATTAATGAGCTTGGACACAGGTATTTTCAGAAAGGGTGGGGGGAGAGCGTCAAATGGCATAAGGAAGATTCATTTAACATCAGGGCGAACATCAGGGCACCCGGCACTGAAGTCTGAGAAGTTACTTCCAGGTGAGTCCCCAGGGTCAAGCCAGTCAATGTAAGTGTCTGAGGCAGGGTGGCCTCGATGGGAACAGTGACGAACACCAGCAGCGTCACATTCTGTCTGGGGAGGGGCCTGATGTCACCTCCTCCCTGTGCAGGGCATGGGGTGCCCTGAGGTTTGTGTTTAACAGGGGGTTCAAGGCCAGCCCTTGGGACTGCTCTGTCAGGAACGTCATGAATGGGTGTCTGGGAGGCGCAGGCTTGTGCCCAAAGCGGTGTCTGACACAGTGGGGCTGGAGCAGCACAGCCACCAGCAGAGAGATCACCCACAGTGAAGAGAAGAGCAAGGAAGCAGGTGCAGAGTGCTGTGCAGAGCTGCAAGATTTCTAGGTTCTTTCTGGTTTTATTTTGCTCTCCACGGGAAGGTACTGGCTTCTTCTTTTTCTATTGCAGAGTGTTCTTCAAAATGTCCCCGCCTTGGGCCGGCCCGGTGGCGCACTGCTACAGTGAGCCGCTTGGGAGCGTGGCGGCGCTCCCGCCGAGGGTTCGGATCCCACATACAGACCGGTTCCCGCTCACTGGCTGGGCGAGGTGTGGGCGCAACGCCGAGGGGTGCGGACCCGCTGCCGGGCC